ACAGCTTTGTAATAAAGCTCTACATTTTACTCTAATTTTCAAACAAAAGCAACTGAATACAAAGCTCATCTAGGAAATCATTCATCATGCAGAAAACCATATTAGAAAAATGGATGACACACAAGCAAATGTCAAAATTAAAGACTCCAATTAAGCATATAAACAAGTGTGTGATACATCCTCTGATTAGCTAGAATGAACTTTAATACCATGATTGCATTTACTGTATGCAAACCTACTGCTTTTAACAGTAGTACAAGCCAACAAAATAAGAAACTAATTAAGAGAAGAATCACTAAGAAGCTTAAAATGGTTTATTCAAATTTTGAGGCTTCACTTGGTCAATTTAAAACCATGATTAAAACCAAGCAAACCAGTTTTCAAACCTGCTTAGTAAAACATCAGGTTTTCTGTTTGTCTCTGTGTGATATCAATATTCTCCTTTTAGAACACCACCAGAATCTCCAAAACACCACTTCCAGTTTTAGAAACCCAAGACAATCATTTCACATGGGCAGAAAGCAGAACAAAAGTATTCAAAGTATACAGATCTCACTACCACTGAATTTTTAAAAGATACAGCCACAAGAGAAACAGGAACACACGTAGGCTCAGCAATTTGTTCTAGGACTGAACCAACACAAAATAATTCAAAACAAGATGTGCTGAACCCAGGACACTGGAAGCAGGTTCCAGTCTATCTGGAACCTGCTATCCAGTCTGTTTATCATTATTGAACTCAGGACAAACCCATACGTGGCAGTGTCAAGGTTTTGCTTTCAGAAATATGACTCACAGATCTTAGGAGAGCTCCAAAGATCAGTGGCTCAATCCAGCAATGTTTGTTTCAAGATTTTATCTTTGGTTTTTCTAAAGTGTCACAGCAGAGATCTTAAGCATCTTTAGATTACTAAAATGGGTCCAAGAACAAAATACAGATAGCTCTGAACCACTGCACTAACACAGTCTCATTTCCTTGTAGATATGATTTGTTTTTGGTTGGATCTGTTACAATAAAACACAGACAATTACCAAGGCTTCTTACAGGCACATTTCACCTTGCTCTCTTCCACATCTTTCCAAAGATCTAAAAAGACCAAGCTCACATTGCAGCCTTTTGACAAAATAGATGACTTTTCTAAAGTTAAAAAAATCTCAAAATCTAAAGAACAAAACCACTTAGAAAGAAAATTAAAAAGATAAATTTAAACTTAGTCTGCAGTCTTCTCTCACAGTCACCAGAGAAGAGGCTGTGTTGTACACCACCACTCACAAACTGTGTCAGATGCCATTTGAAGAGGTGAGGAATCACCCCAGAACAGCCAACTTCTGACTCTACAGAGAGTTCAGCCTGAAGCTGCACAAATTAAACCCACCCTGAGTTGCCAAATGGCCAGTAATAACACAAAAATTACTAAATTACAAAAATTATAGGATGGACTGGGAGAAAAGCAGAAAAACAGGCAGTGGGACTTTTAAAGCTTTAACTCTCTAGAAACCCATTTAGAAACTAGATACTATGTGCAATCCTATGCCATTGCTGCACAAATATAGATAAATAGATATCTCTAGGCTACCCCACAGCAGGTAGAGGAAGTCCAGTGCCTGGCCTGACAGACACAGAGAGCCCATCAGCACAGGGCTGACTCACCTTGCAGCAGCTCTGACACATCCCTGACCACAAGCTAAAGCCCTTCTCAGTCATTACAAAGTCAGGACCCACACAACACAGGAGCCCTGCCTGACTCTCCATCCCCCAGGCTGCTAACAGCCTGCCTCAGTTAAAGCAGCTCTCATCCTGCTCTCAGCAGCACAGCAAACATTGCCACATCACAGAAGCTCTTCTTGGAGCTTAGGTATGCTGAAGCCCTGGCTAGAGCTACCCAGTGCTTTGTAAGGGTTGGGTAGTAGCCTAACCTACTACCAGGAAGAGTTACTCTTTCAAAGAGCAGTAGCTGCAGCGTTTCTGCAGCAAGCAGAAGCAGAGGGAAACCAGTGGGCTCTAACAGCTACACATTTTGTTCTGAAGTCTTTTTTGCTTGCTGTTTCAAATGGACACCACCAGGTAACAAAGCCACAGTGTGTCCCAACTGAATTAGAAGCAAAGTTTGCTTACTCAATACTGTTTTATGCAACACAGAGCTGCTTGCATCAGAGATTACCAGCAGTAATGTGAACTGAGCAGAATTAAAATTTTAAGGAGGGATTGACTTCATGGAGAATGGGGAGGAAGGAGACAAGTACAAACTAACCACCTATTAACTAACCATAGAGGTTAAAATTAGTCATAATGAAAAATCAAACAATTGTCAGAGCTCCACTCACAGCGCCCACAAAACTTGTCTCCTCACAATGCAGGGATTTAGAACCAGAACAGGAAGCAGCAGTCAGATGAGACACTGGAGACTCTTGCTCTCTGCCATTTCTCCTGCAACTTGTGAATTGTACAAGCTCTCATATTGATAAAGAACTTCCAAGTTTACTTCTTGATGCTCATCTTGTGTGGAAGTTTAGTGAGAAGGCAAGCAAGAAATTCTTTCCCTGCTCAACTTCTTCAATCCAAACATAAGGGTACAAAATCTATACTGCCTCTTACCATGATATGAACCTACTACGTGCTGTGGACCTCCAGAGATTTAGTTCAACATCCACTTTCAGTGTTGAAGAGGTTAAAAGGTGCTCTAAGGAAGGAAACTTGTTTTTGCTGGATTTCTATAACTGGTTTTATCAGCACAACTCCTCCCACTGTATCCCACCTGTTTCTTGTTATGTTTTTTTTTAATTTCCAACATTAAAAGGATAGGTGTCAATATAAAGAAAATATGCCTTTTATCTGTTCTTTGTTCCATGACTTTCCAGCCTAATCTTGAGTGCTTGAGAACCTGTGCTGCCATTCTGCATACAGGCATAACTCAGCAGTATTACCTACACAAAACTGAGGCAGTTCCAACTTCACACTGTGAGGTGATACAAAGTTCTGCTGCTTTTAACTCATGCTGGATGAACAGGGATATTCTATTAAACCAATGGCTTTCTCCCATTTCTGAAAAGGTGAACAAGAAATTGAGTGGGGAACCTAACTTCTGCCTTGAAATAGAAAGGACTAAGGCTTTTCTGGGTATTTGCCTAAATGGTCCCTCAAAAATTTTACTACAAGCAACGTTAAAGAGCATCTTTAAAGAAGGTTTCGTATTGCATAAACAACCATCAGTTCAATCAAAGGCAGTAATGTAGTATGAATTAACAATTTCTGGAGAGCTGCCAAATTAAAAAGGGGAATAAGAAAAATCTATGGCATAAAGTATCAATGAATTTTAAATTCAACAACTCCATATTGTTACTTTCCCTGCAGAAACAGCCTGGACACACGTTTTAAAATGAAAATTAAAGTCTACACTGCTATTGCCATAGCTACCTGCACAAAGTGCTAACATAAGAGTGGCTGAGGGAACATGGCATGAGGAACAGTGATCCTAGCAGTGAGTGCCCTCTCCAAACTCAGCTGGACAAGCTCCACTCTGCTGGACTTCTTTTCTGCCAGTATCTTTGGCAGAATACTGAGTGGTTTACTACACTCTTGATATCTTAGCTAATATGAAAATAATCATCATGGAGGATAAAGACTGTGGAACTGTAACAGCACTCAGGTTTCTCTGCAATGGCAGAGACTCCATATGGCGTACAGCAGTAACACAATATTTACATTCCATGTTAAACCACATGGGGAAAGAAACCAAAAACTTTTTCTGATGCCCTGATGCAAATGCCCCCAACATCTTCATATCTAAGTTAGGTAATCAACACAATACAATGGGTCTTATAACAACAGGGTTATTCCATCAGTTTCCACACACACATTATCATTATACTCACACCTCACCAAGGGTCATATCTGGTTCCCAAAAAGGGCAGTGCATATCCTTCAGACTCTGGAGTGCACCAGGAGTTGCTCTCAAATGCACTGCTGAGAATGCACTGGCAACTACCCACTCCTCTGTGCCATGCAAGTGTCAGTGTGAGGTACAAGTACGTTAGTTCTGCTCCACAAAAGCTCATTAACAAAGCAGATTCGATCAGTACCACAGGAAACAAAAATCAAAGCAAGCAAAGCAGCACAAACAGGGTATCAAAAAAAAGCAGAATGACTCAAATTATTATCAGTAATACTAGCAGCCCAGTCAAACAGTATTTTGGGTGGATTTGGTTTCACTCTTTTACATACCAGTTGAAGGTATCTGATCATCAGAGTTCTCATTCACCTAATTAGCTGGTGGACATGCTGAAAAGAGTAGAAAGCAGTAGATAGGTAGCAGTACTTGAGCAACATTTATAAAGGAACCGAAAGCAAATGAAGAAAAAAAAGATTACTGATCTTTTTCTCCCCCCAAGTCAAAAATTGACAAGGGTCTTCCTTTCCCCCACTCAAAAAGGAAATGCAATTTCACTACCCACAGAGGCAGTTTTAATTAGAATCTCTCAAATAGTGCAATGCCTATAGTTACAAGGGGGAGGAGAGATTCCTGTTTGTACATAAGGTCTGATACTGTGTGACATGCATTGCAAAAATATACTACCTGCTTTGAAAGCACATATTCTATTAGTCCAAAGTTTAAAACTTGGAGACATTGTTGTTTTTTAATTCACAGAAATCACTGAAATGTACAAGTAAATGAACTCTTTCTAACCCAAAGGATAGGCCCCAGTTCAGCCAAGGGCTTGATTTAGATTTTCCCAAAGTGGACACACAAGCTCAAGTGTATTTACAGCCAAGAGTGACCACAAGATTTCCAATTTCAAGCTTTTCTTTACAAGCCAGCCAAGTTTAAAAACCATGGACTAAGACTCCATAATGCCTTTAAGTTTGAAACTACACAGACCATACCACGTAGGATCTTCTACAGCATACATCTTTGCCCTAATCCTGCTCCAACCAAACCATTTGGAGAAATAGCTTCAACCTAAAACCAGCATATTTCAAATACACATACATGGTCCTTTACCTTTAATAACAAAGGCTTCAGTTATCAAGCGCAGCACGTACAGAGGCTCATCTTTGGTTGAAAGGTCATCAATTCCTGCTTTTGCATACATGCTGATGGCATCTCTGTAGCATCCCTCCACATAATGAAGCTTTCCTAGGATCAGCATAGCTTCTGTCATATACTTCGGCTGAAATGGAGCAGTAAGAGAAAAAGTGTTTATAGGGTGAAATACCAGCCAGGAAGAATGAAGTACTCCACAGCAAATTAGGTAGGTTCAGAATGCTTTCCTCTCACAACTGCAAAGGCTAAGCTCATGAGAGCAGTAGCCAATGAAGGCCAGGCAACCACTTTGGGGCTCAGTTTTGAAATACAGTTTGTAAGCCAACTCTTTGGTCTCAGCTGACCTGCTCTATCGATTCACCAGCCACAAAGAGTGCATAAAAGGCTGGCACTATCAGAATTACCTACACACACAAAGAAAAACCCCTGCATATAAACTAGATAGTAAACATCACTTTTGAGACAAGTGCTCCCCTCTCCTCTGTATAGTTAATTAAAGAGTGAGAAAAGTCTCAAATTTTCTTTAGTTGTCAAAGAATTTTCATACAACAGTAAAGAAACAGAAGGCACACCTGCTATTTCTAAGATTTGTTAGTTTAAGGATTGAAAACATATGTAACAGAACCTCAGCAAAACACATCTGTTCAGACTCTCTGGAAAGCATGAAAAGATTCCTAAGCCTTCATACCCATTTTTTTAACACATGGAACCAACAGAGGGGCAATACTGTATCAGTAGCTAAGCCACCACTAGCTAAGAAACAGTAATGCCAATTCAGGCAGCCAAACTAAACACAGGGAATTGGAAGAATTCAATAATTCTGACTGTTAAACTATAAAGAAAGGGACTTAACTATAAAGAAAGAGGGCTGGACAGACCCTCCCCTTCCTTACTCCCTTCAACAGCTCTAAATAGGCTGACCTTGCTCACTGGAAATTAACGTGGTCAAAGCACAATATACATTTCCAAACTAACTAAACTAGCCTGGCAATTTCAAGACAAAAGTAATAGGAGTCTAGAACAGGCTGTTGTAATTCATTTAGATCTAAACACAGTTATGCAAGTGTGTGTCAAAGGACACCAATGCAGCAGCAGCCATCAAGGCAGAGTATTAAAACCCTCCTGAAGCTCTGCAACTGAGTCGACAAGCAGCTACCAGCCACACACCCAGAACACAAAACAAAATAAAAGCATTACTTCTCTAATAGACACTGAAGGCAGTGCAAGGCTGTAGTCCTCCCAACACAACCCTAAGCTCCTGACAGCAGCTTGTGGCACATTTTTCTCCAATCAGGAGCTACCACTTGTGCAAAATTCCATCAGATCTGGAGCAGCAGGAGGCCACTCTGCTGTGCTGACCTGACAGCACCCTTATGTGGTCACACCCCACCACCTGAGAGCAATTCTAAGTATTCATCTGGCTTCTTTCCAATTAAAAAAAAAAAAAATAAATGGGATATACTCTTGTAGCACGTATTTTCTTTGCATATGAAAAAGCAAGTCTCACAACATAAAATCCTGCCTAGAGGAATTATCAGTCTCTTAGTATCTGTCACCTACAATACAGCACTGTATATCCATGGACACAAACAGGCAACACCCACACCTTGTAACAGACTAATAATCATATTAAAGAAGTATCCAGTTGGCAGGAGTTATGGTGATAGAGCCCACTTACTCTTAGTTTCCCTCTGCTTAAGATACTGGTCAGATACTGTTTAGCTTCGCTCAGTTTGGGTTCACTCTTCTCCGACAGTGGAATGGAGTCCTTCAGTTTGGCAAAATTTTCCTTTAAACATTCCTCCAGCAGAGCCTCTGCAAGCAGCAAACTCCCATGGTCCTCTGAAAGCACACACCAACCAACAAGAAACATTGCTTACTGCCATTTTGGTGGTAAACAGAATTACAAAAGCAAAACAACATACCTCTGAAACAACAAACTCAAATCAGGGGATGAGGAAGAACTCATCCACTATTATCTAGTGGAAACAGTATTTTTTGTACGGAAAAATGAAACAACACTTTGTTGAACCTTGAAAATTTTCCCTCCTAAATCCTTTAATTTTGGCAGCAACATTCCTTCTTACATTGTCACCAATATAACAGTTAAGAATTTTCATCACAAAACTCACTTTCAAAAGTATAAGGACAAACTTTGCAAACATTTCAGTGGATGCTTTTTATTTACAAAGGTACTAGCATGATATGAACGCTTTAGACTACAGAGAAGTAACTGCGTCAAAAACTTTAACAATTTTCCTGAAAGTATAGAGAAAAAAAAATTAAAAAGATAAATTACACAGATTCTGCACATCCATTACTAAAGACACACAAGAACTGATCCTCTGCCATAATTAACATGCCATGTAAAACTCTTTGTATATTAAAATCCACGCCTGTTCACAGTTCCACAGAAGAGACTCAGACACAGGTAGCAGCAATGGATACAGCATGAACCATTATGCAATGTGGCAATTGTGCTGAAAAAAAAGTTTCATCCGCCAGAGTACTCAGAGTTCTCACATGACAGACCCATTTCTGCAGTTCCTTCATTCATAACAGTACCTCCATCAGCAGACTAGCAGGTTAAGCCAGGTAAGGAAATCTTTGAATACCAAAGAGCCCAGCCCTACATTTCGTATATACTCCATGTTTCAAAGTCTGAAATTTGAATGAGTGAAATACAGTAGTGTAGCTATTTCTGTATTTTCACGCCAGGAGACACCTTATGCCTACTTTCTACCTATACACCACCACATACAGCATATAGTAACTGTGTGGTGGTTTAGATTTTTTTGTTGTTGTGGCCTAAGTGTTCAGCTACGTATCAAATTATAAGCATAGCTCTTCCTGCTCATTTGCAGATCTGCAACTAAACAAAGTACAGGTACATAAAATGGGAAGTGTTAAGTGCTCAAGTATATTCCCACCAAACTTGCATGCAATCATTTCTACATACTAAAGTGCTTTCAGGTAGTTATTAATCTCTAATCAAACTTAAAGAATTAGGTAAGATCATAGACAATTGAGAAATAAATATATACACAACCTCACAAAGCAAATACTACTGTTGAAAGAATCCCATCCAAACACAATCATTTCTAGAAGCACAAAACCTGCTGAAAGAAGCTCTGTAGCAGTAACAAAGCATTACTCTTTCATAACTAGCAAGTTATGATGACATGGCAGCAAATTAACAAATCATGTTTTTACAGCAATCATACTGTTGTTATACCTCTTAATTACAGGGGAAGAAACTACTGTGAACTCTTCAACTAATGCCCCCAAAGTTCACGGTGATCTCTGCACTTGGGAAAACACAGCTGAAACCTGACTAAAGTTCAAAGGTTGGCCGTATGATTCTCAGCACAGGGTTCAATCTGCATCATGTAAACACTAGGAAAGCCTCAAAAAATAAACATGTATTAAACTACCAACATCTCCCCCATCACCATTCCCATTGTGAAGTTTAAGGCACCCCAGAAAGCTTCAACGCTAGGGCCACATTCTGGACACACCCCTCTAAAGAAGGGAGTTTATTCCCAGAAGTAGCTCTTCTGACTTCAGCGACAGAACCTTTGTACCACTACCGCGGGTAGAATCAGGGATCAGAACACAACTTACTTGCTGACCTCGGAGTGAGTTATGCTGTTACAAAAGATTTCATTAAAAAAAAAAAAAAAAAAAAAAAGGCAGCAAATCACTGTGTTGTAACAGGGAAAAAAATACTAATATACTTGCTATTCTCGAAACCTGTTTTACATGTGAAAGCCTTTAAGTAAAGCAGTGTCTCCCGGAGATGGAGAGAAGCACCACAAGTGCACCCACCCACGAACAGCGCTGGGCAGGGGGCAATAGGGAACCAGCACGGCACGGGGAGCTGTGAGACCTTTCCGAACACGCAGGGCGGGCTCGGGGCCGGGCAGCCGCCACCAGCGGCGGGGGCGGCATCCCGAGCGCTCGGCAGCCGCCCCTGCCCGCCCGGCGGGCTCGGCAGCGCTGACACCGAGAGGAAGCGCAGCGTGATCTGCCCGAGCGCCGCTTCCCGAGCTCCCCTCCCGCTGCGGAGCCGGGACGCGGCCACGGGACGCCAAACGACGCCCCGCCAGCCGGGCCGGCCGCAGCTCCCGCTGCCGAGACCGGGCGGCGGCAGGCGGCGAAGCGAGCAGCCGGCCCCGCCGCCGCACGCCCGGGCGGGTCGGTACCGGCGGGCGCCCCTCCCGCCCCCCGCCGCCGCTTACCCGCGTCCTGCGCGCCCCTCGCCGCCTTGGCCTTGCGCGGGGGCCGCGGCGGCAGCAGCTGCTGCGCGAGGTGGCGGAGCCGCCCCCAGTGCCCCTCCGCGCGGCACCGCTCGATCTCCGCCTCCAGCTTCACGTGCGAGTGCGAGCCCTTGGCCGCCATCTTAGCGCCGGCACAGGCCCGCCCCGCCCCGGCCCGCGGGGAGTCCCCGGCGGCGCCTCCCCGGCTCTGCTGCCCGGGCTGCGGAGCCGCCAGGTGCTGGTGCTGGGCGGCCGGCACGTCCTGCCCGAGGGCTGCGCTCGGGAACGGCGCTTCCGCCATGGCCACCACTCCCTGACGCCTCTCTCCTGATGCCCGGGCACGGAGGCGCGTCCTGCAGCAGCGGCCGCTGTCCCGGCACCGCGGGTGTGGCCCCTCGTTCCGTTCCTGGGCGAGACTGGCCGGGAGGGCTGTTCCCCACGGCCGCCGCCCCCCTCAGCAGCAGCTCCGGCACGACACCGGGCGGTGTGTGCGGAGCGGGCCAAAAGCCCCTCTGCTGCCCGGGACCGCGGTTTGCTCCGGGGCTGTGACCTCGAGAGGCCAGAGCTGTGGCGAGTACGGAAACAGCGAGATCCGTGGTGTCAGTGGAAGTACAGAGCACGGTTAGCAGTGGGGACACTGTGGAGAGGGTACAGCAGGTCCCACTGGGGCAGCAGGGCAGGAACCATGGCAGTCCTTCGTGGATGGGGCTAGAGGGAAGCATCCAGAGCAGGGGCAGCCGGGGACTGCCACATGCTGGCCCTCAGTGCCACCAGCTCTGCCACTGCAGTCCTTCTAGGTTCTGCCCAGGGTATCACCGGTGGCATCCCTCCAATGCTCCTCTGGGAAGGCACTCTCTGCATCAAAGGCCGGGGTTGTCGAGCCCACAGCACCCAGAATGGGCCAGGTTGCAAGTGGGTCATCTGGTCCAACCTCCCCTGCTCACACACAGGGATTGTGTCCAGGCAGTTTCAGAATATCTTTACTGATGGACACTCCACAATGTCTCTGGACAATCTGCTCCTGTGCTCAGTTACCCACGCAGCAAAGTTGTTCTTGGTCACGTTCAGGATGAATTTCCTGTGCATCATATTCCGCCTGTTGCTTCTTACCCTTTTACTCAGCACCACTGAGCAGCGCCTGACTCCAATCCTCTTGGAACCCTCTCTTGTGTACACTATATATATGGGTGTATGTATGTATATTTGTATTGATGAGCTCCCCTCTCAGTTGTCTCTTCTCGAGGCTGAACAGGCTGAATTCCTCCAGCCTTTCCTGGTAAGAAAGATATTCCAGCCCCTTAATCATCTTTGTTACCCTCCACTGGACCCACTCAGGAGCTCCGTGTCTCTCTTGTACCGAGGAGCCCAGAAGTGGACACAGCACTCCAGGGCTGAGTAGAGGGGCAGGATCACCTCCCTCGACCTGCTGGCAGCGCTGTTCCTAATGCAGCCCCGGACAGCCAGGTCACGCCGCAGGCTCACCGACGGCTTTGTCCCCCACCGGGCCGCACCTGGGCCCGCCCCGCGGTGGGCGCGGCCCCGCCGCACCTGCGCCGCCCGAGGGCTCCACGTGGAGCTCCGGGAGCGGCGGCGTCACCCGCGGGGCGGGGCGGGCGGAGCGGCCAATGCGCGGCGGAGCGGGCGGGGCAGCGCCGGGGCTGCGGTGATCCCGGCATGGTGTCCCGGGAATGGTGGGCAGCCCGCGGCCGGCCCGGAGCCCGCGGCACGGCGCAGACCTGCCCGAGGGTACGTAGCGTTGCGGCGGCGGCGGCGGGGCCTCTCCGCCCGCCCCGACATCCGGCGCTGGGGCGCGGTGCCGCGGCCTGGGCGGGGGGCGGCGGGCCCGGCCCCGTTTCCATTGCGCGGCGGGGGCGCTTTCTCGGGGATCCAGCCCGGGTGGGAGCCTGGAGGGTTCCACCAGCGCCGTGCCGGTGGAACCGGGGGTAATTCCACCTGGGGCCGGGAGGAGAACAGGAGCGGAAGGTGGCTGCTCCCGGCCCCTCCGAAGCTGTGCCCTGGCACCTGCCCATGAAGTGCGCACATGCTCGGCTGCGTGATGTCTGTGCGCCCCTCGGGCAATCCAGTCTTAACGGAGCTGCTCATTAGATGGAGCCGCTTGGATGCAGTAAGCTCCCGTAGCTGTGGGGCAGGTCTGCCTGAGGCAGAGGGCATGGTTGTTTGCCTGGAAGGTGTATGAAAATGGCTAAGGTGTGAGCACTAGCTATGATTTAAAAAAATATATATATATATATATGAAAATTACTGCATAATTCAGTAAAATAGGGACCCTCATAAAAGCTCCTACTTGGAACTCTCTGGCTCTCTGCTTGCCAACAAGTTCTTCTATTCTGAAACTTAATGGGATTGTTTAGCACTGTCTAAATCCACTGAAAGTAGATCACCATTTTTCATCTGTATTTTTGGGGTGTATGTTTTCCTTTTTGTAGGAGATCACAATGGCCCAAAGGATGTTTAGAACACGTTTGCTATTCTGCTTTGCTATGGCTGCATTCTTCGTCTCTGCCCTAGCTGAGGAACATGTAGGAGAGAGTCAACATCCAAATATTCGCCTTGATAAGAATTTGGTACAAGATAAAGAGTATGTGTTCCATGTTCTAAAAGTGTAAACTTTACTTCTTAATTATTTTCTTATCTCTAAAGTGTTATGTGAGTTGGACTTAAGCCTAGGGCATCCTGTTTTCTCAGAATGTTGTATGATTAGCTAAAGCCAGATATGAGACATGCTTTCTTGATAAATGTGTAGAGATGTGAAACCTAGAAAGGTCTCTCTGGAGCCTTTAGCCCTACTTATGCTTTAAAAAAATTATTGCAGAAATCCTGCTTACCCATATCAGCATACTTTAGACAAAATCATATTCCTAACAGGTAGAGTTTATTTTCTCATTTGCTTCTTCATAAATGCAGAACAGTTCCAGCAAATAAAACTCCCTAGAACACTTCATGGTTGACTGAGAAAGATCTTCCTCCAGTTCCTGCACTTTGGAAGAGAGCCAAAAAGAGATTTTGGGCTCTGCTTCAGTTGTTTTGATAGCCTGCTAAGTAGGCCAGAAGAAATAGAAATAGTTTTCTAAGGTATTAGAGGCCTCTACAGCCCCTTTAACAAACATTCTTTTGTGCCCTCTTTATCTTGATAGCAAACTGTAGCTTTTAGTTGTCCAGGATGCTTTTAGAGGTACAATATTTGATCAAACACTGAATTTGATGTAAACAGAGCATTAAATATAAACTGATGGAAATATTGTGGGTTTTGTTTCTTAGGCACATCATGGAGCACTTGGAAGGTGTTATCGAGAAACCAGAAGCTGAGATGTCTCCACAAGAGTTGCAACTCCATTACTTCAAAATGCATGATTATGATGGCAATAATTTGCTAGATGGGTTAGAACTTGCTACTGCTATCTCACATGTCCACAAAGAGGTTGGTGTAGTTTTGTAAGGGCTTATGTGTTTGGAAACAGTTCTGACTCTAAAAGCAGCAGAACAGTTGCAACACATCTTCAGTGCAGCTACAGTTTTGCCTGAAAATGTGACTATTTTTCTCCTGATAGTTGTGGTTGAATTTATAAGTGTACATTATCACAGCTTTCCATGTCACATTGCAGTTTTTAGGACGTTTCCATTTTAGTTTAAACTCTAGAATCAGGAAGGGCTCCAGAGTGACAATCATTTTACAGAGGGCTTACTTTGGCAGGTAGGGATGGGGAGAAAGGGAGATCCTCCAAAATGGGACACAAGAATTTGTAGAAATATCATGTGATAAAACAGTGTTTTCAGCTGCTGTGTAGACACAAACGATAAAAAAACCTCTTGCACAAAATTTGTATTAGAAGAACTTGCTATGCTCTGTCTCTTCTTAAACTTAAATTCTCTTTCCAGTCATTAAGAACATAATAGAAACACATTATCTCATCTTGACCTTCTGGAAGTTACAATTCAGAATAGCCTAACTTCCTGCTAATAACCTGTGGCAAAAAATACTGAGCCAAGTACAGAATAATGACTGGCTGTTTATTGTGCAAAGGCTCCTCTTTGTGTTCCCATAGGGGGAATTACTAAGAATTTTACTGACTTTAAGCTACAGTGCTGAATTTTTTCTTTTCTGTATTAGTGTAAAATATTTCTGTAGTGTGTAGAAACTACAGTGTCTATACTACATCAAGATCCTAATTAAGAATACATTTATTAGATGATTGTCCATCATTATACATTGTGGTGTTCAGCTTTTGGAACTTCTGACCAAGAATGTTAACTGCAGAATGCTTGTTCTGAAGTCCAAAGGACTTTGACTTCAAAGCTTCCATCTGATGAAATTTGCTTACATTGTTATAAATGATTACATAAAACTTAATGCCAAATTAGGCACCAAACATGAGCAGCTTAGTAAAAAATTAGTTGTCAGTAATCCATCACATGTGCCACTAGATGAGAAAGACTGCTAAACTGTTCACTGTGGTTTTGTTTTTGTAGGAAGGTGGTGAGCATACCCAAGCAATGAAGGAAGAAGAGCTGATTAGTCTAATAGATGATGTCTTGAGGGATGATGACAAGAATAATGACGGATTCATTGACTATGCAGAATTTGCAAAATCACTGGAATAAGGGTTTGTTTCTCCTTCTAACCACATGAAAATGTGAACCAGTATAATGTGATTCATTACTGTCTTGTATCAAACTCTGTGCTGTGAGAAGGAGAGGTGTACCAGTTTTTTTTGACACATAACTTTCACATTTATTTGAAAGTTATGTGTCAAGAGTTTTGCTAACTTGGAGTGAGAGCCATGTTTGACTAAACATAATATGCATTTGAATAATGAAGCATGGAAGTGTCAAGAGTACTCACACAGGGTACAGCTGGCAAACTCCTAAGTAGCTCTGTATGAATACTAAATAGAGTCCTTAACATCTAAATTTCAGGTTTTCAGTCATTGGGTTTTATAGTTCTTATTTGCTTACATCTTCTATTTAAAATTATACCTAGAAAGCAAGAAATGGTTACTGGATATAGTTGTATTCCAAGAGGAAATGCCTTTACCTTCTCTCTAATGTACAAGAAAATCTGTAGATAAGTACAGATGCTTGAAACAGCAGTTTTAGAGGGAAAGCATTTGAGTGTGGGTTATGTTTGAGTTCCACATGACACCATATGAACTTAAACAATCTTTGAAAAAATTTAGTATTT